AGGAATATATAATATTCTATCATAAAYACATAGGGTATCAAGTTCTCAGACTTCTTCAAACATCTATTACCTGGTATTGTGTTTTGCTTTCTCATTGGATATGCAGGTCTAAGGTGAATTTTAATATGCCGATTCGTAGTTCTTCAAACACGACGATACTAAGAATGATTCTGTTTGATTGTTTTAGACTATTGTACTTACGTATCAGACTTGAAAACCCCGACTCTCCAGAAATTTCTGGCAAGTATTTATGTAATTATAGTTATGTTTTMATTTGTTTCATCTGGCCTATTTGACATTTTTTTCAAGCGTTTCGACCGATGAGCAATACCCAATGAAACCCTGGAACCAGCCCCTGCATACCCCTGTCGAGCTCACTCCTTGGCTGCATAAATCTTCTGCTTTGCCTTATTTAATATAAAATATTAATATTTAATACATGTTCTTAAAATGATTTCCTACGACTTTGATCCATAGAAATGAAAAGAGAAGTGGAGATTTGGCGCCGAACTGCTGATCGTATTAATCACTTCTCAGCCGAAGAAAAAACTGTGAAATTGYTACTGTTACAAAAGATACTTCGTCTTGAAACTAACATTCGAAACATGGAACGGTGTCAGTAAGTAAATAATATAACCACAATAACAATGTAGCAACCACATAAGAGTATACGAGTGATATKCTTGGCAAACAGAACCATACATATACTGGCGCCAAATGTTAAAAAGAATCGATTCATCTAGCATTACTTCATGAAACTATGTAAATCACAATTTTATTTTACTAAAGAGATTCAGAAAATTAATGTAAAGTCAATTTTTTTTAGAACTCGAGAACAGGCCTTCAAGCAAAATCTTAAAGAATTGGAAAATAAGGTGAGGCACGAATTAGGCAATGAAGTTGAAGAAAAGTTTACAAGTGTTAACATTGGCAGTTTTGTTKGATCAAAAATAACCACAAAATTCGCCAGTGCAAGCGGGCCGCTAAAGTGCATTTAAAACTATTCCTAATATGCGCCAACGATTGTTTTCAAATGAATGTAAACTAAATTGAGTACCCTTTGTTTCTAGTATAAAATCACAGATTTTCCGCTGCTTGTCAAGAGTGGGTTCGTTATAATAGTCGTTGTGGCGTTATTCTTTATTCAGTCGCTCACTKATAAGCTACAATTTGCAATTGGTAAGTTTTTGTTGATATGTCAATTGRCAATGTGCAGTGACGCCATCTTGTCTGCAAAGAATGATGGGAAGGGAAGTTATCGCACTTTCTTACGTTCGTCATGTTCCCAAAATTCCTTTTTTTAGGTGTTTTCTTTGAAGAAACTTCAAACCACTTGCATCTTGCAAAGAAAACACTAAAACAGATTTTGTGGAGAATTGCAACGGACAATAAACAGCACGAGACCTACATCAACCGCCATGCATTGCTTGAGAAAATGGCGTCAGCGTATTAAGTACCTAAACCCCTTTAGTTCTATAGTAGTTCAAATTTGGAGTTTTTATCTCCTTTATGTCTTATACAGCGCGATCATTCAACAACGTGAACTGCGCATGTTTATTTAGCTTTATATTTTGTTGTTATTTTCGTGGAATTCATTCGRCAAAAAACGTACAGTGCAGATGTGTCATATACTATTGTAGCACCGAGAACAATGATTTTGAAACCGAACAGAGCAGCAAATTTTAATACTCTAAAATATCACATATGGGGCTGACCATTAGTGACGTTTGAGGTGGGGGATGTTTTGGTCGGTGCAGGGAATTTTTTTTTAGACCCTAAACAAGTGCACGAAATTTATTTGGTAAAATTGCAAAGGTTCTATTGGAAATTCTTGCAGGAAATATATATTTTTAAAATCATCCACACCCGCCCTCAAAAATTCCATGGTAGTYTTTAAAAATACAATGTATTTTTTGTCTTTAAAAAATATGATGTCAAATGTTTTTTCGTTAAGGTTGGATAGCTTTGATTGGAGCAATAGGTCTAATTCTACTAGCGCAAATCGAGAACATGGAAGAACTCATGGACAAAGTAGAATGGACGACYTTAGTTTTCTTCGCTGGTCTTTTCGTTCTTATGGAGGTAGCTATTTAATCKCATTTCAACAATGGTCGAACAGTGATATAGGTATAGGGGCGTAGTAGTCTCCTCTTCCCCAGGCAACTCTTTTTTGTTCCTTTGGGCTTCCTTTGTAACGGCCATCTTGTCCGCTAGGGACTAGTGACGAGAAAGGAAAAAAAAGAAGAGGAGTCACATGCCTCTCCTCTCTCGCCCCCATTGTACCTCTTYTGTCTCCAAAAAAGGACAGGAAGCCTGTCACATTTTGGTGCATTAGCATCATTTTCATAAGCGTTTCGTGTTGTAGGCTAATTATTGCCAAATATTTTATTTAAGGGTYTGAAAGAGCTTGGTTTGTTTGATTTCTTAAGTAGAGCTACTTGTCATGCGATAGAGGTAAAACAGCAATTTATTGAACAGTGAACGGACTGTTTCCACTATGACGTCATATACAAGAACTACCAAAATTAGTTGCCCATAGTMAGAATGACTATAAAAACGTGCTAGCTGTTGTAGTAAAATGATGTCATCGTGCAAGTGGTCTCTTGGCATAGAGCGGATTTCGTATGAGTGGGACACCGTTACCGCACGGTTACCGCACAGTTACCGGACCTGGCCTGCACAATTTTGGTGAACCAATGGGGCACTAGAATTTGGTTACAGTACGATTACGGTCACCGTACAGTAACGTCCGTTTCCCACTCGTACGAAATCCGCTCTATTTACAAATGTCATGAAAAAGTTTTCATAGAGCATAGGGTTCTAAGAGCCCGCAGGGGGTACGTTTTATACGTGTAAGTATAATAAAAATTAACAGAGCGGGAAAATAACAAATTGAATAAATGAATCTCGACATATCATTTTCATTTCGCTGGTGGATGTTCTCACTGTCAAACTCGGMTGTTTGTTTGGSCATCACGTGAAAAACAATGTCRTGTTGCTCACCAGTTTTTGTTGASGTTTGTTACGGCCMTGTTAACTGCTACCAAGAACGAAGTGCATCATGGATCACATAGGCGGAGTCTGGTCTCGAGTCATTCACTCGCGAGTATAGTATGTTTGGGGAAACAATCAACGGTTTCTGACTTCTCCATAGTCGTTTCTCTCTATCGACCGGATACGGATATTTTTGAATTAGAACTCAAACGATATTTTYRATATTYGTGCGGACTGGCAAATCGTCAAAGAAAAGCTTGCGAATTCWCTTTTTTCCGGGTATATGATTAGATAGATATTTATTGCAATAATTTCCTGGAAATAACTGTCACTGTCACCAGTTGAGATTCAGTAGTCTCCTGCAGGGTTCCCTGCGCCATCTTGAAAGGWAGCCGTGCCTTTGCATCGAAGAGAGACGACCGTTGTACTTGCAGTCATACACAGCTATGAATATTTGTCTGTAGGTGTGATTGATTGTATCAATCAATGTACGCTCAACGGTTGTCTCGCTTCGTTTCAAAGGAGCTGCTACCTTTCAAGATGGCGAAGGCAAGTATGGGGAACCGAGGAGAAGACTATTGCGGCGGTCGGACGACTTCATGTTGTATATTATTTGTAGGACGTACCTGAAAGCAGCAGACTGGCAGTTGCTATCATTGCAATCATCTGGATTTCTGCCATAGTCTCATCATTCGTTGATAACATTCCTTTTACTACGGCAATGGTGAGTTTTTTCTGTCTTGTGAGTGTCAATATAATTTTAAGTATCGCCTTGAGGACAGCCCGATATTACAGGCAGACAACTCGTAACAGGGTTCTCACGGGTCATGGAAAACCTTGAAAGTCATCAAATTTATGAAATAAAATATTTTGTTTTTCTTGGAACCGGTTTACGAAGGATGGACAAAATTACCGGCCACTCCTTAGATTTTGTACGGGATTTTATCCGCTGAATAAGGATTAATCCGGTTGATAGCGCTTCTTGGCCTTCGTACAGGCTCTAAACGCGGCTGTACACCAAACTACCTTTAGCTTTTATTAAGGCAGGTTCCGACAAAAGTTTTACAAGTTTGTATATACATCTATTTTATCTTGACATCTGTTCTTTACAAATAGATACCCATTACCATAAAACTGAGCTCAAGTGGCCTTCCTCTGTCACCCTTGGTATGGGCGTTGTCTATGGGTGCGTGCCTTGGTGGCAATGGGACTTTGATTGGTGCGTCTGCTAATGTCGTTTGTGCTGGTTTATCTGAGCAATATGGCTATCCAATATCGTTCATGAGGTTCACAAAGTAAGTGGTGTTATATACAGATATTTCAAAATGAAACGTTCAGAACTGAATGCTTCAAAATCAATATCAATACCGTAACGACTTGTTGTTTTACATACATCAGTACTTTCGGAGAACAATGCGACCGCCATCTTGAAAAGTGGAACTCGAATCACTAAATTATAACTCCTGGGAAAGTAAAGAAATTATAACTCCTGGGAAAGTAAAGAAATTATAACTCCTGGGAAAGTAAAGAAAGTGTCATTTTCCACAGTGCTTGATAACCCAGGGGTAAACCTAAGAGACTTATCTTAGAACATGCTCTGTATTCTAATTATAATTCTCTTATAATAATTATAAGAGCCATTATTAACCGACATGCCTTCGTATTAGTTAACGCTTTAATGGGGATTTCATTGTTACAAAGTGACTATGCCATGGGAGGGGCAGACAGGTTCCTGGGAGAAATATTACTGTTCTTATGCCCCAGCCAGCTGTAAGTCACAATTGGCGAGAAATTCAGGAAAAAAGAACTCTCCAGGCAAAGAATACTTTCTAAGAATCTATGCTAGAAAAATCAAAATTTTCTAACTAAAACAATTTAAGACGTTTTTGACCATAAAAACGTTTGCCAATAAAAATTCCTTAGAACCGAAAAAACGTTATATGCCATAAAAATGTTTGCCAGGAACAAAATTATTTTGAAGGAAGGGCGCCACATTTGCTTGTGACTTTGTCAAAAATGTAGCTCAAATTCCCTTTCCCAGGAAAGTTATAATACCATGCAAAACTGTTTTTGTTTSTTTCAGAATCGGATTTCCCATGATGCTTCTCACAGTCACCGTTGCCATGGGATATCTTCTCGTATGTCACGTGGCATTTAAGTGGGACAATGTTTGAATTCAGAAAAAAAAATACAATTTGAAATAGATGAAATTAATTGTATCATAGAAGTTGTAAATTGTAAATACCACTGCTTACGTACGTAGAAAAGCTGAGATAACAAAAATCTATTTTTATAAATGAATTCACACGAAAATTAAATAAATACATGCATATCAAATGATCGAACGTTGTCTCTATAAGTACAAACAACATTATTRGGTAATATAAACTTATAATTAATTGAATTTAATGTTTGCAAGTAGAACCACGTCAAACCAGGCCCTTCATGGTCATTCTTGGGGCCAAAAGAAAGGTCGTAGTCCGAACTAGTAACTCTGTTTTATTCGAACTCGGACATAATAAAATACTATATTATAATGCATAATATGATACATAGTATAATACTCTACTATCTTGAAATTCGATTGCCGTATTAAAATGGGAATTTTGGGATTGCCCGATTCTGCCTCGCTTTGATGCAAAACCACAGCCTCCTCGCGCAACCTCATGTTGAATGTGCTAGCGTGATAGGTATTAGSTCATCATTTGCAGTGAGAGYCAGGATATCACCCCCTCCCCGCCCCCAATCTCTCCTCTTCGTATCGTTTGTCACACTGATGGATCAGCGGGAGTTGTACATTCAAATGCACATAACATAATTCAACCTTGTATCTTCATAATGTTAAAATTGAGTAACATGATTTGGGCGGTTGAATACAAACTCTGTCTGTTTTAGTCCTTTTTCGCGCTTTTCTTCCTGTAGAGTTGTTTCGGCAAAAAGGTGTAATTTTGATACAACGACATTCACAGATCAACAGGTCATCGAAAGAATATTTTATGCGATCACGCAGAGAAGGTCTGTGAGAGGTTGTGTACGTGCTATTGGAATCAATAATTCAACGCGTTGGGATGCCATCTTGCATCTATAGAGAGCCACAAAGTATTGATTAGCCAGTCGTTTACGGCTATGCATACTCAACTCAAAAACTGAACAAGGTATATAATACTAGTATCTGTAGGTGTGATATGATCGTCCGGGTGCGCGTGAGAAGTCTTGTAGAAGACTGCTATTATATCGAAACATCAGTTAACTGTATCAAGACCTTCCGGACGATCATGTCGCACCTACATCGCTTACACCTGGCCTTCAGACCATTCACTCTTATTATAGCTTACTTCCATCCTCAGACAAACAAAATAGACTAAGCACTTTGTATATTTTCCTCTAGCCAGCAAACTGTAAAGTAACTAAAATTTAAGGATCATTTTTTGTTCATAATCCACGATCATGCTCAGTTAACAGGAGCCATAACTGTCCCAAAATTATTTTGGTTACTGATAATAGTATTGTCTTTCGGGTCACTCCATTGTCCTTTGTCAGCAATAGATCAAAAGAGTGGGGGTCGTGTCAATAAGACATGGTCAAGGGGGTGGGTCATTTGAAAAAATTGTATCCAACTAGGGATACCTTCCTCCCGCCTGCTCCCACCCCCCTTCACTACCGATAAAAAATGAACGGACAATAACTATGCTATAGCGACAGGATGTGTTCTCTGATTGGCAAGATCTGTTCATTTTGCGATTTTACTATACAGAAAATTCCATTTTCTGACATAAAACTGTCTATGAACTATAYATAAGGCATATTGAGTTTTGTTACAATTAATGATCATGTAACTTGTATTTTTGGACACCGAGTCAGCTGAGTCAAATGGATTTAAACTTATAGTGGTATAATTTTGAGGAAACTGCGCAAATGGCCAAATGACCCCAAATGGCTCCTGTTGACTGAAAATGATAGATCATCCAACGTCAGCATATGGCATATTGGGTTGACTGCCCTCGCCATAGAACTTTTCTTTATTTCGGCGGGGTGCGGACCCCTGACTCTATAGGTATCAATGACACATCCAATGACATTTAGGACAGTTMTAATGTGTTCGGCCTAGACTAATATGCTAATTGTTTTCGTGTTTGTCTGTCTGCGAGAAACTCTGGTGTTCACAGACCTCTAAGAGAAAATACATCTACAAAGGTCTTTAAAAAATGCACCTTTGTTGATAATATATTCACTTTAAACCGAAATGGTWACATAAGAYATGRCAGGAAGTCYCAAAAACAAATAAAAACCGGAAAGAACGACCACTGGCCATCACGAGAGGTGAAGCTTATCGYATGCAACCTCCAGTGCCACAGTTTCTTATAGTTGAAAAGGTAAGTCGAAAAGTTACGAGCCTAGCTGCCAGAGTGCTTAAGTTAGCTACTTATACAAGAGATTAGATCGCTATAAGACTAAGCAGTACTAACAGAGATTAATGCAGCTTAATTATTGTGACTTTTCGTGATATAAAGCCATATCATTTTTTTAAATATTTTCTTATTATCACTTTGTAATTAATTCGCAATCATTAAACCCGTGAAAAAAAATTGGATTAAAGTATAACAGTTACAAATAGACACAAAAGAAAACAATGTATGTAGTTTGAGCGTATTATGAAAGTAATATCTATTTCACGGGTTCATTGACTTCAGAAATACTAACAAATTAGTGCTAAATAGCGCAATATGGAATAGAAAACAAAGGAGTTTGCATAATCCAGTACAATTGCTAATGGTTTTCATGGTTCTAGTGATTTCAATCAATGGGGATTAAAAGTCTCTGTATTGTCGCGTCAAGCCCTCCCGCCGGCATTCACAGCAGATTTTTTCTTGCACAAATTCAATGCAAATTGTGGGTGTACGGATTTAGGAATAAATGTTTAGAATTTCGAATTCCATGGTTTGCAAATAATTGCTGTACACTTTTGAAATATAAACCTAACCGAACTGATAGGTTTTTCCAGAATATTTCACATTATGAAAATACTATTACCTTGAATATTGAATTTCCGACGGAAAGTATTGCGACCCGG